ATTGTACCCGCTAACAGGATCATGATGCAAAATATCTCTAGAAGCACCCCTGCTCATGAGTACTTTTCGTTACTACTACCTTCCCTAAGTTAATTATGATCTTGACTTCTAACACATAGCTTAGTTTAATTTGTTTATATATTGTCATATTCTCAATTATGCCTGTCTTTTGTGTAGGAGCTCTGATTTAATTTTATTGCTATATTCTATTTATAAAAATGCTATTTGTTATCTCATTGTTTTATGTATAATAGATATTTGAGTAGGTAACAGTTTTTTTTTCTGCCATTGGTAGTAATTCTGTCATAAAACATTCTTGTAAGTAGTTTTTAGTTAACATACTTAAATGTTTCTTTTGAGTATGTACACATAGTTGAACTACTGAGACAAAAGTTCTTATTAAAATGTTGGTTGAGGGGCTGGAGTTGTGAGCTCTTATTAAAATGGAGTTGTGAGTTCTTATTAAAATGTTGGTTGAGGGGCTGGAGTTGTGGCTCAGTGGTAGAGCTCTTGCCTAGGATGTGAGAGGCAGTGGGTTCAATTCTCAGCACTGCATACAGTTAAGTGCATAAAATAAAGGTCCATGAACATCTAAACAATTTAAAAAATCTTCATTGACTCTGAATTATTTAGAAGGACATTCCTTATCTTTCATATTTTAGATATTCTAAAAGTTATCGCTTGGGTCCCACTATATTCTTCTTGGTAATGTAGTTTTAATATGATACTCTGCTTAAGGAATAGTGCTGGTGGTAGCAATAATGAATGCTGAATTATGGTAGTAATATTATGTGGATACTACACATTCCACACATTATTTTACTTTGGAGAATTAAAAATGTTAATTAAAAAATATTTCATCAAATATCATGCAGGACATTTTAATGTGTTTGAAAAGATCATAAATAAAATTTAAAAAAATCAACTCATTTAGAATGGTAGAAAATATTTACAAATGATACATCTGTTAAGAGGCTTACATTCATAGCCTGTAGAGAATCACTACAATAAATCATAAGAAGATAATTCTATTAAAATGCATAAAGAATGTGAATTCATATTTTTCTCAAGAAGCTTTATTAATTTCGAATAAGAGCACAAAAGAATTTGCTTTAGCCATAATGAAAATTCAAATCAAGGCCACAATGAATTATAATCTTCTGTCCACTATGAAGGCTATGATAAAAAGAAGCAGATGATAATGTATTAGCAATTATGAAGAGAAATTACTACCCTCTTGTATTGTTGCTTGGAATAAAAAGTTTGTAAGAGCTTTAGAAAAAAATTTGGTACACCTTTATACACATAAAATTCCCATATGTGTACAAAATGAACTCAGATTCCATTTGTATTATTATGTAACTAGAAGAAATAAAAAGATATGCTCATAATATATATAATTTATAATTATCAAAATTGTATGCAACAAAGACATCCAGAATATATCACATGAGTAAATTTCATGTGATGAATCCAATCATAAAATATTATTYAAGGAGAAAAGAAATAAAATTCTGATGTATGGCATAATATAAATGATAGCAAACATATGCCAGTAAAAGAAAGTAGATATAAAGAAACTAATTTGACTGATACATTTTGAAAAATATTCAGAAGAGGAAAATTGATAGAAATAAGACATAAATGATGATATTCTTGAACTAAGTTCAATGCCATGTCACATGTCTTTTGGTAATAAAAAATTCCTAAAATTATAGTCTTAGGAGAGTTTCATAATTCTGTAAACATAGTAAATATAATTGAATTTGAGTTTTCTATTTTAAAAAGGAAAATTTTATATATGTGTGTTGTATATCAGTAATAAAATCTAACAAAATAATTATAATAATAAAATGAAAATTTGAGCAAAAATTTAGTTTCAGAAATTTTAATTACAGAATTAAGACATTTGTCATATTTCTTCAGATTCATTATTATTTCCTCCCTCATTTAGATTCCATCATCTTTTAAAAATTACATCCCTTTTGCAAATAGTTTATGTACATGGCAAACATTTTGTGTATGCCTAGAAAAGTTGCACTAATTGATTACCCATTTAATCTATGAAGTTAATGCAACTTTGAAATAGTTACTATATTTGAAGTAGACAACAATCCTGAAATACTAAAATTTCATCTGTTCAGTTGAAAATAGAAACAGATTTTACATGGGTTTCATCAAATTATTTCAAAATTAGCCTCTGGAAATGGTCTGCAATTCATACTCACCAATGAGAAGATAACCCTTCTATTAATTACCTAATGACAAATTTGCTATATTCATGAGGAGTCATTAATAATCATGCTCAAAGCCTTGAATATCTGCACTGTTCTTAAGTCCAATCTAATAGCTGCTTTCTTGACTTCCATATGAGCAATGTTATCAGGTTGATCTGCAAACAAAGGAATGCCCACCATATGAACCCCATGGTAGAACACCTCACAGATGTCTTTGGTTCAACAGTGAGTTATAAAAGCTTTTGTTTTTGGATAACTTAGGATTGAGTGAATGTCAACAAAACTATTAATTAGAAATTTTAGAAATGAAATGAGAAATGTTAGTAAAAGGCACTAAAGTGAGGCTGGGGTTGTGGCTCAGTGGTTGAGTGCTCACCTAACATGCATGAGCCACTAGGTCAATCATCCTCAGCACAACATAAAAATAAAATARAGATATTGTGTCCACCTAAAACTAAAAAAAAATAAAATAAAAATAAATAAATATAAAACAAGGCACTAAAGGGAGCAATGTATTTTAGGTAACAATTATTGTCCCACTTTGAAATTTCTATCATACATCATAGGATGAAGCAACTAAGTCCACTGGAGAGGTAAATGAAAGCCACGTGGAAGAGGAGGTGCATGACTTGAGACTTGAAAAATGAACACAGAATTGATAGATTGTGGTAGTAGGAGCAAATGTGACTCCATTTTGTTTTATGACTTCATCCTGTAAAACAACCATGAAGAGTCATGACTGGGGCAAGATGTTCTTTTCCTTTTGCTATAGAAACCTTTAAGAACACGGAACTACCTAATGGGGTATTGTTTCTGTAACTAGGGTAACGGGGCTCTGTTTCTGTAACTGGGGTGACTGGACTAACTGTGATTGGTTAGGCTTCCCTCCGCTTGACTGCACTGTCCTGCTTCTGTAACCTGGGTTGCTTGCATTGGCTAGACCTCCCCCCGCAACATCCCTTTTGCGGTTTTCAGGCTTATAAGGAGTGSCCTTGCAATTGTTCGGGGCTGATCAGGGGAACAGCTTTATGTTCTGGTCAGCTGCCACCGGTGTGCTTCAATAAAGGCTTGATTCCATTATACATGAGTGGTTTGGAAGTCAGTTTATGAAACCCTGGGACGAAGCTTTAACTATAACAGATAGAGAAAAAAAATGAAAAAGTTTTGAGTTAAAGTATCAGCATGTACCAATAAAAATAAGTCCAGGAGGACACATTAAGACATTTTCTCACAAAGAAGTGAAGTCATTGAGTTTGGTATGTAGTGTGTCCAAGGCAGGAGAAAAGTGGTGGTGGTGGGGTGCTTGATTGTGAGGAAGGTGAGGGTAAACTTCATATAAAATATGTCAACACTTCATGATAAAGATTCAGATTTTATGTCCATAGAAAATGAAGAAAAAAATGGTAATAAAAGCTATTTTTGTTGGCATTTAATATACTTATTCAGTAGAGGAAAGTGAAAGTTGTAGAGATACCAGACAGAAAATCCAAGAGTTGATAGAAAAATCCTTGGAGAGAGAATTATATTTGGAAAAAAAATGCATTCTGGCCCTAAAACAGCATGACTGAGCATAACAAAATGACACCTTTTATAATTTGTCCTTTCCCCATCCTCAGTACTGGAAGGAAAATATGAAGAAGTTAGGTTTCAAACCCAGGAGCACTTTACCACTGAGTGACATCTCAAGCCCCTTTTATTTTTCATTTTGAGATAGGATTTCACTAAATTGCCTTTATTTTATTTATTTATTTTTATGTGGYGCTGAGGATTGAGCCCAGTGCCTCACAGGTGTTAGGCAAGTGCTCTACCACTGAGCTACAGTCACAGCCCCTTGCCGACGGTTTTAATCTAGGATAGTGGGATCCCATTCTCAGACCTCCACATTTCAATCTCATGCCTCAGTATGTTGATACTCTGCTGATATTAATTTAAATTGGTACAAACTTCTCAAAGTATATACTTGAGATTCTGAATTATCTGCTGGGAACATATGCTAAAATCACAACACCCTTGAAAAATTTCCTTAAGAATCTGTAAATAAAATTGCTGGTGTAACAGAATGTTTTGGTTTCTTTCACAGTTTCCTGACTTTCTTGGGCTACACAAGTTTAGCCACTCAGCAGTGGCTTAGTGATTGTCATTGTAGCTAAATTTGAGTTGAATGCAATTAACCAAAGGATCCATTTCAGCAAGTGGAATAAAGAAAATCTCATGGGTACTTAAGTGGTGGAGGACAAAGGTATATTTCTGAGCCCCCAATTTTTCCCCTTCATGCACACTACCAGCTTCTAGTTTACTCCTTATCTATTTATATGAGTCAGTCAGCATTATAAAAAGAAAAAAAAAGCTGAGAGGTTGTTGAAATGAATAGGGTGACAAAAAGCATTATGAAACCATCTCTGTTTCTGCTCTCCAAATAAATGTTCATCTTCAGTGTATCTTTGTTACACTTGATCTTTCCATCATATTGGAAACTCATGTTTTGTCTAGATGAAAACATACATGTACATCACAACCACTTTTCATCATGGTTGAAATTATTAGAAGATATTCTTAGTAGTGAGGCAAAATATTCTGACCCACTGACTCTGCATGTGCTTTCCCTCTGCATTTCCTTCAGATCCTTTGCAGCCTGTGAGGGAATTCAGTTCTAAGCAAACTTAGCCTGAGCTCACTTCTGGTCACCACCCTCCTCCATTTCCTTTTCCTGGCTTCCTGTTTCTGCCAGCTGTGGAGACAACAGGGCTGCTCTGTGAGAGTGTGTGTGTGTGTGTGTGTGTGTGTGTGTGTGTGTGTGTGTGTGTGCAGTTCAAACTGGTCACTATGTAACTGCCGGTGGAATCGGAGAATGCTATCACTTTTGACTGCAGTGCTGGGTTCTGTCCTTACACTTGTTTACTTTCTGGAGAGGAGGCTACATTGAAAGGTAAAATTTTCTTTTTAATCTCTTAAAGATTTTGTCCAATATCTACTGAGCATTATGCTAGTTAGAATAATTTCTGTTTTGAGCAGTTTCCTAATTTGATTGTTCTTTGCATAATTCTAATTTTTTTCCCATGGGAAACTCAGTTCTGTTGTTTATGTCATGAAGAATCTTTCAAGTTTTCAATGTTCACATATTTTTCTGGGTTCAGTGGAATGCTTCTGAAGCATTGCCAGGATTGGAGATCTTCTCTTGAGAAATCAAGGCACTTCAGGATAAAGAAATCCTCTTTAAGGCCTCGTCTTTCTTTTCTTTCCCTGTCTTCTAGACGCACACACACACACACACACACACACACACACACACACACATCACTCTGAAGCACATTCCAGAATACAGACTGTGTTGTTTACTACATTTATTCCAGGAGCTGAAACTGGATGTGGACCTGATAGAGTCAAATTTTGTTACTGTGGAATGAATTAAAGAATGTGTGTTTTTATTAAGAGTCATTTAGTTTTTTTTTTAATTTTAGCTTTAATTTTTTTTCATTTATTTTAATTAGTTCTACATGACAGTAGAATGCATGTATGCACTTTGATATATCATACATAGGTGACATGTAATTTCTCATTTTTCTGGGTGTACATGTTGCAGAATCATATTGTAGTCACATATATACACACAGTAATAATGTCTGTTTCATTTTCATACTGTCTTTCCTATCCCCACATTTCCTCCCCTCCCTTCCCATCATTTCCCTCTACCCAATCTAAGGTGCTGCTATTCTTCCCTAGTGCTCCCCCATCATATTGTGAATTAGCATCTGCATATTAGAGAAAATATTTGGCCTTTGGTTTTATAGGATGGGCTTACTTTGCTTAGCATGATATTCTCCAACTCTAACCATTTACTGGCAAATGCCATGATTTCACTSTTCTTTAAAGCTGAGTAATCTTCCATTGCATGTATATACCACATTTTCTTTATTCATTCATCTATTGAGGGACACTTCAATAGGTTGGTTCCGTAATCTAGTTGTTGTGAATTGAGCTGCTATAAACATTGATGTGGCTGCATCACTATAGTATGCTGATTTTAAGTCCTTTGGGTATAAACCAAGGTGTGGGATAGCTGGATCAAATGGTTCATTCCCAGTTTTCTGAGGAATCTCCATACTGTTTTCCACAGTGGTTGCACTAATTTAAAGTCCCATTAGCAATGTATGAGTGTACCTTTTTCATCTCATCCTCACCAACATTTATTGTTGCCTGTATTTTTCATGATTGCCGTTCTGACAGGAGTGAGATGAAATCTTAGAGTAGTTTTGATTTGCATTTCTGTAATTGCTAGAGATGTTGAACACTTTTTCATATATTTGCTGATCAATTGTATATCTTCTTCTGTGAAGTATCTGTTCAGTTCCTTAGCCCATTTATTGATTGGGTTATTTGTGTTTTTTTGYTTTGTTTTATTTTAAGTTTTTTGAGTTCTTTATATGTCCTAGAGATTAATGCTTTATCAGAGGTGTATGTGGTAAAGATTTCCTCACAATCTATAGGGTCTCTCCTCACGTTATTAATTATTTGCTTTGTTAAGAAAAAACTTTTTAATTTGAATCCATCCCATTTATTAATTCTTGATTTTACATCTTACACTTTAGGAGTCTTGTTAAGGAAGTCAGATCCCAGGCCAACATGGTGAAGATTTGGATCTATTTTTTCTTTTTTTAGGCCAAGGCTCTTTGTTCTAGTGTCTAAGTCTTTGATCCACTTTGAGTTGATTTTTGAGCAGAGTGAGAGATAGAGGTTTAATTTCATTTTGCTGTATATGGGTTTTCAGTTTTGCCAGCATCATTTGTTGAATGGTGCCCTCTCAAATATTAAGGGCAAAATGATTATTTGAAAATCATGCTAAAATTCATGCTATCTTTTCTCCAGTGAATGATTTTGGTACTCCTGTCTGGTATGAGATAACTGTATTTATGTGTGTTTATGTTTCTGTGTCCTCTGTTCTGTAACATTGGTCAACAAGTCTATTTTGGTGCCAATACCAAGTCATTTTTGTTACTATAGCTCTGTGGTATAGTTTAAGTTCTAGTATTGTGAAGCCTTCTGCTTCACTTTTCTTGCTAAGGATTGCTTTAGCTATTCTGGGTTTCTTAAGAGTCATTTAGTTTTAATGGCAAATGACTCCATTTCTCCTAAGAGGGGCATTGTTTTTTTTTCTTTTAATCCATTCATCTTCCTTAATTTGATCTTAGACATTTTAATTTCCAGCCTATGGCTCAACTTGAACAGAAAGATTTCATATGTCATGGAGACTATAATTTGTCACCACAAAGATTGCCTGTCACTGTTCTGTGGGTTTAAAAGGTTTTTAAAAACTATATATTTTTTTTAATTTTTAGTGACAACCCTCTTCCTGCACATCTGGTCAATGACACTAATCATCTTAGGTTTTCCAGCCCTCCCCTCTGTGTGGCCCTYCCCCTACAATTCTGAACTCACCATCAGCCAATGATTAGGATAAGTGATGCTAACTCAGGTCTAATCTCCTGGAGCTTCCTGATTTGGCCACACCCACTTCCCAGATGTGACTGGTATGTGTTAGAATTGGCCCCCTTACTGTGTTTTGTTACTCATTCCATCTTTCTCTGGCAACATTCTTTGAGCATAAACAGCCTGAACTTGTAGTCAGAGAGGAATTTCTTCATTGAAGAAAAATGCCCTTACAAGTTGTGAACACCCTATTTGAATGAGAGACTTGAGACAACTTTGAACTCTAGGTTGGGCCCATAGTCAGTGTGCAGAATGATTAAGTATACAGTAGAAATCCATTCTTGGGTTGCCACTCCTTTTATATGTCTTTGGGAATATACTCTAAAGCTCTGTTTCTTTACGTCATCTACAGTATGAAAGATGTATATTCAGAGTGGGTAAGAATTAGGAAAGACCAAATGGGGTGGCACAGGCCTATAATCCCAGCAGCTCTGGAGACCGAGGTAGGAAGATCATGAGTTCAAAGCCAGCCTCAGCAAAAATGAGGCACTGGGCAACTCAGTGAGATCCTGTCTCTAAATCAAATACAAAATAGGACTGGGAATGTGGCCCGCTGGTCTAGTCCCCTTGAGTTCAAACCCTGGTTCAAAGAAAAAAAAAATAGAAAAAATTGCATGTTACCAAAATCAATGCAATTTATTTTCTAGAAGCCATTGAATTCTTTGTGATAAATCATTTATACACACCCTATATCACTGAAGACTAAGTTAAAGGTGATTTAAAGTTTCCTCTCAAATATTAAGGAGGAAATGATTATTTGAATATTATGCTTAAATTAAAAAATCTGATTCTAGATTGGTACATGAGATTCCACATTTACAACAAACTTTAAGATGAGACCAATAGCACATTATGATTGTACATGGACTGCAGTTTGAATAATCGTTGTTAGTTAATTTGATAAATGTAAAATAGTACTATAAAATAAAAATAAAAATTAGAAATAATGGCTAATATTATCCAAGTTTAATAGAAACCGTAGCTCACATTTCCATCAAACTCAGTATAGCTGAAGTGTATGCTTGTAAACACACACACACACACACACACACAAAATGACGCCAAGAAACACCATAATTAGATTGCTCAAAACCAGTATAAAGTAAACAATCCTAGAAGTAGACAGAGAAAACACATGCATTTTCTACAGAGAAAGGGTAGGAATGAGAATAGACTTCCTTTAAAGAAAAATAAGGTACAACTAAACTGATAATTATTATGAAAGATTTGATTTGTGTAAATCCTGATCTTTTAGCCTATTTCTATGAAACATGATTTTAAAATGAAAATAAGATGTGTACTCCTATTTGTTTCCAAAGTTTCTGCTAAAGACCTTTGTTCTCTGTTGCTGAGCAATTTGCTACTGTTGCAATTTGTATGTTTATGCTTACAAAAATGCCCTTTGCCTTTAGATCTTTGTGGACTCCATGTGTTAAAGGCCAGTTTGCTTTCTGTTATATTGCACTGTGTAAAGGATGATATTTTTCACTCAGATTCTGATTTCTAATATCTTTATTTCTCTATGATTTTACTGTCAGTAGGAAGTCTGTTAAGTATTTATACAATCTGCTATAAAAATGACCTCCCAAAGTGATGTCCTGAGAAAAAATCTGAAGACAGTCCATGGTTACCCCATGGTCTATGCTTTTGCGCACAACTGGGAAAGGATTGAACAGTTCCGCAGCAGGCCAGATGACATTGTGATAGCCACTTACCCCAAATCAGGTGAGCTCTGCAGCCTGACTGATGCAGGTCTGACTTCAACTTTCACTTTCTGGAATCAACTTCTCTGTAAAATATCATCCTATGTGAAGTTAACATTCCTATCCCTCAGTGCCACTATCTCTTTCCAGTGTATTAAAATGAACATTGTGGTATAGAAATGGAAACTCAGGATTACTTTTTTTCTAATAGATTATAGTAAGATGGCAGGCTTTCACTTTTCCTACTATAATTAGGTGCTTACTATAAAAATAATTCCTTTTTATTTTTCCTACAGGTACCACTTGGATTAGTGAAATCTTGGAYATGGTTCTAAATGGTGGAGATGTTGAAAAATGTAAGCGAGATGTTATTACTACTAAAGTTCCCATGCTGGAAATGGCTGTTCCTGGATTAAATATATCAGGTAAATTTGTCACCTGGTCATTGTAATTTTGTAGTATTGTTTACATAGATGTGTATTATTATATTCGTGATAGCCACTCAAAGAAATTCATAGATTTGGCAGCATGACATGAGAGTTTGCAAGCAATAGTATTACCAAGTCATATAAAGAACTGTTGCTTATTCTATTGCATATCCAGGTATGATACAAAAGATGAAAGAGTTCAAGAGTACAAAGCAGTTAAAAATTTCGTTAATAATATGAATAGCATTCCTCATGCTTCATTGGCTTTTATCGTACAGAATTTGTCACAATGAAACAATCATTTCAAACTTGGGACATTCTTGTAATTTAATAGGCAAAGAAGTACCAACTCTGTTTTAAGAACAGAATTTATTAATAAAATTTGTTTTTCATTYCACAAATATTTATTGAGTACTTCTTAAGAACTTCACTGTGCTATTAGTCAGTTACAAAATGATTATTAACTTATATATTTATACCCGGGAAGCTTACAAATGTATTTTGACAATGAAATTGTGAATACATTAATAACATCTCAATATTATTAGTTTTTATAAAGTATCAGATGCTAGGAAAGAGAATAATAGGAGAGTTTCCTTTAGGTTGGATATTAGGGGCAGTTACTGGAATTAAAACTCAAAACTATGCACACAGTTGGAAAAAGCACATTCCAAGAAGGCAAAGCATTAGGCATAAGGGTCTATTTTTTTTTTTTTTTTGGAGTGGAAGGGTACCAGGGATTGAACTCAGGGACACTCAACCACTAAGCTACATCCCCAGCCCTATTTTGTATATTATTTAGGGACAGGGTCTTACTGAGTTGCTTAATGCCTAATTTTGCTGAGGCTGGCTTTGAACTCACAATCTTTTTGSCTTATTAGCCTTCTATGCCATACAGGAATGTGCCACCTCACCAGGCTGGCATAAGCACCTTGATGTAGAAATTACCCTGGTGTAGGACACGGACTAAAAARTGACCACTGAAAGAGGGGAAATAAGCATGTAAAGCAGAGATTAAGCAAGGATAAATTATGTGAGGCTTGTGATTCTTAATGTGGCCTTCAATTTTATTCTAAACAGTGCAAAAGAAGAATTTTAAGCAAGGAAGAGATATAAAGCTGTGTTATTTTTATTATTTAAAATGTAATTATTCCACTGACTTCTGAGAGAGATGGAATTGAAGATTCCAAACAAGATACATGTTGTATCTATTGTATTGATGAACTGTATAAGAAATATAAGGGAAATGTAWTAATTAAGGGTGATTCCCATAGTTTTATTAAAAACAATCAAGTGGACTATGGAACCATTTACTACTATGGAAAATATTTGGACAGAAATACATCTGGGTGTAAGACAATTAATAATCAGCTTTGAAATGGTAGGTTTGAGATGGCACTGAGAAATTTAAATAATGAATTAAAATCATAGTATTTGGAACATGTTGAAATATATGCATTAGGGCCACAGCATAACTAGCATGGAAAGTCATGGTACTGCCCAAGGAAAAATATCAGGAAAATATGAGAAGAACAGAACTCTGTGGAAACCACCAAGATGTGGAGGCTTGGTAGGGAAATAGGAGTTGCCAAAAGACACGGAAAAGAAAGTGTCATTTACCTAGGAGGGAGGGAAAGAGCATGGAGTCCTATAGGCATGATTGAAGGGTAGCTGAAGGGAAGTTTGTCTCTTGAGTACTTCTGGAAACCAGAGATAAGAAGATGGATGGTGGTATTAACCTTCCTGTTAATATCAAGAGCAGAATCCAAACCCTCTCCCATGGAGGATGTATCCCTCAGCAGATAGGCTGGACTAATAACTTCCATAGGCAGGCAGGGATCAACTGAAAGGGTATCAGTCCTTACTGTGGTTGTAGGCTAAGGGCAAACTGATAAGGCTGGAAACTGAAGGATTATGTTGAGGCAAGTTCCACAATGAGGTAAGACTTCAAATCCAGAATCCTCAGAAAATTTGGAATTTGGAATGGAACCATCATTTGACCCATTTATCCCACTCTTCAGCATAAACCCAAAGGACTTAAAATCAGCATACTATAGTGATTGGCCACATCTATGTTCACGGCAGCTCCATTTACAATAGCTAAGCTATGGAACCAAACTAGGTGCCATTCAACAGATGAATGGGTAAAGAAAATGTGGTACATTACACACAATGGAATATTGCTCAGCCAAAGGAAAGTGTGAAATGAAAAAGTGATTGATCCAAAATAATCTGAGACAAAGAGTCAAGGATTATTGGTATGAAGCAGGGTTAGGATTTGAGGAATGCTGGGTAGGGCTGCCAGAGAGGGAATAGTTGTTCAGCTAGGAGATGAGGATAGACTCTGGCTTTCAGATTTACTCTGGAGCCTGAATGGAGATTATTGTGATGTCTTTGTGTCTTCTTAGCATGCATATTTGTGGATAAGAAGGGCACATTTAAAGATATTCACATGACAAAATGATTGTAAGATAGAGAAGGGAAAGAAGGGAAGACTTCATAAAAATAACAGAAGCAAGTTCATTTCATGGACATTTGGGAAGAGTGAATTATGGAAAATTAYAATTTCTCATTTCTCTGTGATTGGTAAAGGGACTGCAGCCACATTAGAAGTATAATAAGATCCCTAGTGGAATTTTATACATCTCTAATTAATGTTTTCAGATAACATACAAGAAACTCAATTAAATTGAAAATTCAGAAAAGTAACCATTGTTGTATAGGAGATATTTACGCTAACAAGATCTATTTTTTAATATAAAATTAAAATTTAACTGGAYATCTTGCTTCTGCCAATCCTATTTTTATTGACATAAGAAGGTTCTTCTTAATGCTAATCATGTGCTGTCCACTCTGCTCTACTGGACATCCCTGGATGAAGAATATGAGTTACTTTCCTGTTCTGCTGGAATATTCATTGTATTGAGTGTGTTTGGGGGTGAAGATGGGTAGGAGGTATGGTAAAAGTAACTAAAAAAGTAAACAAACTTAAATATGTATCATATAGAACATGTGAAGAGAGTGTCATAATGGCGACTGAGAGACTTTTAACATATATAAGAAATTATTGCAGCCTGGTGCAGTGTCACATACCTATAATCCCAGTGGCACAAGAGGCTGAGGCAGGAGGATCGAGAGTTCAAAGGCAGCCTCAGCAAAAGCAAGGCACCTAAGCAATTCAGTGAGACCCTGTCTCTAAATAAAATACAAAATTGGGCTGGTGATGTGGCTCAGTGATCCAGTGCTTCTGAGTTCAATTCCCAGCATCTCCTTCCCCCAGCAATAAAGCAATCATTGCATACATCAGAAACAATTATTGTTTTCAGTGTGTAATCAGATGCAATTTTATGTGGGTAGACCTTTCTATGCAGAAGGTGAAAATATTATATAGGATTAGAAGTTAATTTAAATGTTATATTGGATATAAATAATATTGTGAAAAACAAAGGAAGGATGCATAATACCTTAAAATTTATTGGAATAAAGAGCTGCGAGAGAGGATAAAACTTCAAATTACTAAAGTGGGCATTTCTATCCCCCGATTTGGAGAAAGGGGAAATGAAGCATGGAGACTCAAATATTTTTTAAATATCTCAAAATGAATAAGTAATAGTATTTCAACACAGGAAGGATAGTCTCAAATTGAACACTCAACTATTACACAACACTCCCCCTTGGAATACAGAGAAATGAATTGGTACAGCATTTAATTACATGATATGCTGCTCAAAATGTCTTGAAATATTGGTTGGGAAGATGAGAAAATACAGGCTCCTTGGAGACTCTAATATTTCTAAATGCCAAACTAAAATTCCCCAGGTATAGAACACTTAGAGAAGAATCCATCACCTCGTCTTGTGAAGACACATCTACCAACTGACCTTCTTCCTAAGTCTTTCTGGGAGGACAACTGCAAGGTAGATGCTACATTGGAAGCTGATTTTAAAATGTGACCCTGTCTCTTTACCATGCACATAGTAAGAAAATGGCCACATGTTTAATTGATTTGTGACCATGACCACTGAGCTATATGAGGAATTGTTTCAATTTTTAAAAATTAGTGTAAGCTTCCATGTTTAAGTTATCTAAACTTTAGTAGCAACAGAATCCTCACCTAAGGACAGTGTTACTACTTTCATTCCTCTGGATAATGTGGCCTTCTACAAAAACTTAACATAAGAGTGCTGGTTCTTAATTGTATGGTAAAAATCTTCAGTGAACATTTATTTGTGCCTTTATGTTTGCTTTGTAGTAAGTTTTAAATTCCAAATTAAATTCTTCAATAACTATAATGCTGTTCAGGTTATCTATTTTATCTTACCTGCTAGTTTGCTAGTTTGTTATCTGTGAGAAATTTTCTAAGTTGTTGAACTTATTAATGAAAAATTATTCATATAATATACACCTATATTATTCTTATAGTGATTTTAGGATTTGTTATACTACCCATTGTTTTGTTCTTTATCTTAGTTGTTTGGATCTTCTTTCTTTTATCTTTGTTGTTCTTGCTAGAGGGTTATCAATTTTATTTTAAAAAATAGATTTTTGTTTCCATTATATTTCTACTTTTATTTTCATGAATTTGTTCTTTTATCTTTATTATTTCTCTCCTGCTTGTTTGTATTTAATTACCCTCCCTTTTCTAATTTATTCACATAAACATGTGGATTATTAATTTGGTGCCTTTCTTCTAGAGTTAGAATTTAGTGCAGTAATTTCCTCTCAGAATTGCTTTGGTTTCATCTCACAAATTTTGATATGTTGTACTTTGATTTTCATTCAGTACTATGAATGTTTTTATTCCATTTTTTTAACTGTAGGATTATTTGAAAGTGTGTTCTTTAATTTCCAAGTGTTTAAAAGTTTTCATGTTGCAATTTGGTTATTGCTTTCTAGTTTGATTCCATTTTCATCAAAGACCATACATTATATAATTTTTAGTTTTTAAAATATCTTATATTTTATCTCTATYTTTGTGAATGTTCCATGGGCATTTGAGAAGAATGTGCATTTTTCTTTTTTGGTTGAAACATTCTATAAATTTTGGTTAGACCCCATCGCTTGATAATATTATTCAATTCTTTGTCTTTGCTTGTTTTCTACCGGTTGGTGGTTTGGTCAGTTGGTGAGGGTAGAGTATAAATGCCCCCAACTATAAATTTTGACTTGTCTATTGCTGATTTCAGCTTTACTAGGTTTTGCTCTGTGTGTTCTGAAGTTATATTTTTTTGTGCTTGGGCATTAGGACTGCATGATCTCCCCAGTAGGTTCATCCTTTTGTCATTATGCAATGTCCTTTCTTGTCCCTAGTAATTTTTTCTACTGAATTTTACCTTGTCTAATACTCACACAGACACTCCTAGTTTTTCTTTCTGCCAATTTGTCTTTAAATTCATATACTTATACCATTTACCTTGAAAAAAAATTGACATTTAAAAACTKAAATCTGTCATGTTTTTTCTTTTTTTTGTTGTCATATCTTTGTTTCTGCATTTTTCCATTCTTACTTTACCAGAATGTTTTAAGAGGGTCATTTTCACTTACTTTTAATGTTTTTGAGTTTTTTGTTCTTTTTTTGTTTTGTTTTTCGATATGGTTTTCTCAGCGACTGCTCTAGATGTTACTATAAACATATAAACATACATAACTTATCATAGACTATTGTTGTGAACATTTTCTTACTTCAATTTTATTTCCTATACCCTCTCCATGTGTTAAACATAATGGTCTGAACTGTTGTCCTGGACATGAATAAATTGCCTCAACAGATGTTCTTTTAACCTTTGCTTCAATTATAAAATATGAAGAAAAAACTTGCCAAGCCAAAGACATTCTGTTTACTTCTCTTTAACCCATTTTCTTGCTCTTTTTTTCTTTCTGAAGATTCCATTCTTCTGTGGTTATTTCCTTTCTCTTCAGAGTTTCGATTAGCCCTTCCTTAAGATAGGTCTGTAAGTAAGAGCTTTTTTTTTTTTTTTCATACCCCTTATCTGATAATGTCTTATTTCCCTTCCTGCTGGAAGTAGAGTTTTACCTGCATACAGATATGCAGTTGACAATATTTTGATTTCTGTACTTGAAAAGTATCTTGCCACTTCTTTTTGGCCTTCATGATTTTGAATGAGAAGTTCATTGCCATTCACATCAATGATCCTTAAAAGGCAATGTGGTATCTCTCTGGCTGGTTTTAAGGTTTTTATTTGCCCTTATATTTAGAAGTTTATTAACAAAGTTGTCTTGGTCTGACTTTATTTGGTTTCTCCTTTTTGGAGTTAATTTGGCTTCTTGGATCTATAGATTTATTTGTTTTAATATATATGAGTGTTAGCTGTGACATTTTGTTACTGTGACCAAAATACCTGAATAGAGCAACTTAGAGGTAGAAGAGATATTTTGGGCTCATGGGTTTCAAAGGATGTTCCATGGTGGACTGACTCCATTGCTCTAGGCCCAAAGTGAGGTAGTACATCATAGAGGAAGGGCGTGGTGGAAGAGCACTGCTCTATTCATGGTGACCAAGAAACAGAGAAAGAGAGAGGAAGGAACCACAGGGAAGTTGAACCCTTCCAGTGCATGCCCCCAGTGACCCATCTCTTCCAGCCATGCCCCACCTGCCTATAGTTACCCCCTAGTTAGTCCATTCAAAGTAGGATGGACTGATTAATTTTAGCTCTCACAATCCAATCATTTTACCTCTGGAATTTTTGGATTAACACAGAAGCTTTGGGGGGACACCTCATGTACAAGCCATAACAATTTGGGAGGTTTTAGTCATTAATTCTCCAAAATATTTTTTTTCAGTTTTTTTCTTTCTCATATTATTCTGGAGTTCTGAATATATGACTGAGAGATCTTTCATTATGGTTTCACAGATCCCTAAGATTCTGTTCATTTCTCTTCAGTCTTTTTTCTCTGTGTTGTTTACATCAAGTTACTTCTATTGATGTATCTTCAGGTTTGCTAATTGTATCCTCTATTATGGCTACTGTATTATTAAGTCCACCCAGTAAGCTGTTTTTATTTCAGTTATGGTAGATTTTAGGTCTATTATTTCCATGTATATAAAACTTTTCATGTATAACACATCTTTCCTATCTATGTTTTCATTTGTTTAAAGAAAAAATTTAATTGAGTGCTATAACATCTTTATGAAGTTGATTTAGAATCCTGTTTAGATAACTCAGAATTCAATTCATCTCAGTATTGGTGTCTATTGTCTTTCTACATTTAAATTGTAATTTTCCTAGTATTTAGAAAGACAGATTATTTCTATTTATATCCTGGATATTTTGACTATGTTTTTAGGATTAGTTTTAGTAGTTATTCACCCTGTTGAGGTTTACCATATAGATTTTTACTGTATTTTGGGGAATTTGTTCCTATAGGAGTTTTTTYTTCCTAAGTCTGTGCAATGTTTTTCTTGTTGTGTTGACATTCTGGGGTTGTTGGTGATCTTTCTTTGTCCCTGCTCATTCCTTATGCAGAGGCGTATGGTACCTCCTAGGACCACTGGCTAATGCTGACTGACCTATTAAAGGAGGACAGAGCCTTGATGGCTGGGTCTCCTTGTGCCACCTGGTGGAGGGCATGCAGAAACAGAGCTTTGCTGCTGTGGTACATGGAACTACCCATGGGGGCCTCAACTGTGGATCAGAAGCTGGGAAAACGAGGGGCATCAGGTCATGTAGACGGGCCCAAGTATAGAACAGAGTTTGGGATTTTCCGCTATGTCTTTTTGGGCTTCTTATTTTATGATCCTTTGTCTAGAAGTTAGGTTTTGTTTTATTTGGTTTATGCTTGCTAAAGGTTCGAGGTCACAAAGCTCCTTGTTGTCCAGTTCAAGAGCATACAGGAGATAAAAAGAAAATCCAGAGGGAGCTTACTATATTAGTTTCTTCAGGTTATTCAGTTCCAGAGTTCCTATATCACTGTGTTAAATTTTTAGGACTTTAGTGATTCTTAGAGGAGAAAAGCAGAGGCGAGTGAATCTGTGTCTTCCAGTTTTTGAACTGAATGCCCACAAAAACTCATTTTAATGACTGTCCTTGCTTTCTATTTCCTCCTTAACCTTTATCTTTTTCAACCTGTTGTATGCTTCCACCAAAGCCTCACAATTTTCTTATTTTCAATTTGCTTGTTATTCTCTGTTCTTCCTGAAGATGTCGCTGTTYATTCATGGATCCCAGAGTCAAAGGAGCCAGAAAGTGACAAGGCTTTTTCCAAAGCACTCAGAACTTTCTGCTTCTTATCTCATAAAAAAACATTGCTCTACCAGAAAAATTACTTAAATTAATTCTATATTTGAAGTGTTGATGAAGAAGCATTATGGTTCACAGTTTCTAGGAGAAAAAGCACTCTGCCATTTTAATTATCTATGAGTGTTTTTTTTTCTTTTGTGAATAACTTTCATTTTATTTTCTTTTTCCTCTCTCCTGCAGATGATTTATGTTGCTCGAAATGCCAAGGATGTTGCAGTATCATTTTACCATTTTGACTTAATGAATAATTTACACCCTCTTCCTGGAACATGGGAAGAATATCTGGAGAAATTCATGACTGGAAATGGTTAAGTGATCTTTAGCTTAAAATTCACACACACACACACACACACACACACACACACACATATATTTAATTTTAAACAGTACTGTTAGTCATTACTGTTATGGATTTTCATTTCAAAACTTATTTTTTTTAAATAAGTATTTCAAACTCAGCACAAATACATTCAAATTCCATTTTAGAAAATTAGTCAACTGACCTGATATCGATCACTAGCATAATAAAAGTATTTTAGAATCCTTTCCCAGTTGCTAGGAATCTGTTCTCAGTCTGTGCTCACAATAGACATGGCTTAACTTGCTCAAATCATTAGTTAGCTCTGTTACACCTGCATTTGTAATAGATACTTGATAGAAAACATTTGTATGAGAATAGTTTCCTTCCATGTGAGACTGAATATAATTTATTGGCAGTCATTGTATTTTTATCTGAAATGTTTCCTTTGTATTTCATATTTAAAGAAAATTATTTGCTTGTACATCCATAAATGACTAATTTTACCTCTTAAAATTGATCTTATATTCTCAATTCCCATGATTACTAAATTCCACAAAATGTCTTTACAATTTAACTTATTGTTCAGAAAAAAATGATTTGATGAATGTTTTGGAAATGGACTTTTTCTCTGGTTTTAGTGGCCTATGGTTCTTGGTTTAATCACGTTAAGAGCTGGTGGAAGAAAAAGGAAGAACATCCGATACTTTTCTTGTACTATGAAGATATGAAAGAGGTAAAAGTGGTGGATATTTATAATGGATAATATCTTTGCCCTCTCCTAGGGTAAAACAATTAATCTTTATTTTTGAAACTAGTCTCAATTCCAAAATAATATCACTGCTTTCTTATCCTCCATGTCTGCTTATCTGAATCTTGATAGAATCATTAACAATTTTCTAATTGAGAAATCAGTGACGAATATTAATTCCTCTCATTTCTTAACCACTGTGTTTCTTTGAGCATCCTTTCCTTTTGAAATTGTCTCCTAAATTTCTCCAGATTTCATACTCATGATCATCCTCTGTATACTGTCCATTGACTCAGTTGTTTTTCTTTTTGAAATGTTTGCGATCACGTCCAGGCTCATTTTCCTCATGAATATTTATGTCACTGTCCAACACAGGAATAGGCAATGCATTTTGGTAAATTGTAACTCATCTTTCTCAACTTCAGTTTGAGTTCCCCCAAATCTTCTAGATATATCCATGGAGGTTTATTTGCTTTTAATGAAGTTACAAAGGTGAGTTTTCATCATTAGCAACTGAGAATGACCCACTTTTCATATTTTGTTCATTTTATTCTTAATAGTTAATGAGTAATTTAGTTCTTGATATCTTTGCACCTTATAGTCTTGTCTCTTTTTTATACTTTTTTGAGGTGCTTGGATTGAGCCCATGCCTCAAGCATGCTAGGCAAACACGCTACCACCGATCCCTGGAGTCTTCTATTTTTTTAAAAAATATATTTTATGCCCAAAACATGTTCTATTAGTTATCAAGGCAAATTTCAAATCTTCAATAATTTTAATTACTTTTAAAAATTATGGAAAATGAACACAACTAATTATAAATTTCCTTCAACATTTGGGGTCAACTTTGTGTTTTTTTACATTATGATAGTCATTTATACTCCCATCATTTCCTTGGATGTGTGTTTTACCCACTGATAGAATCCAAAGGAGGAAATCAAGAAGATTACTGGATTTTTAGAGAAGAACCTGAATGATGAGGTCTTGGATAAGATCATCCATCACACCTCATTTGAAGCGATGAAGGACAATCCTCTGGTGAATTACACACACCTGCCCACTGCAGTAATGGATCACAGCAAATCCCCTTTCATGCGCAAAGGTAAACACTTTGCTCATTTTAACCTCTTGTTTTACTTTCTTCTGGATGATTAGCTCTGTGATCTCTCCTGCATTATTTAACTTGTTTAGGGTTTGGTTATTCACCTGTAAAAAATAGGACTCTAATAATACCTAGCACCAAAAGGTGCTCAATTTGCATCAACATTATTAAATGAAGTAATGTGTATAAAGCTGTTTGTAGAATACAATAAATGTCTGAGGAGTACTTCCCCTGTTATTTACTGTTCTGCTACATAGAAGTGGTCTTGGAGAATTGTGGTGAAAATACAACGTCTTCATTCTTCTTTAATTCGTTGTCTAACTTGGCATAGKCCCCTTTCTCCTCCTCAGTATTATATAAATTTTACTCAGTACCATACTCTGTTCTTTACAGCCTCCACATCATTTAGAAAATAGTGGTCATCATTTATTTCACTAAGAAGCTTCACCAAAAGGAAGGACTTTTTTTTTTTTTTTTTTTAATCCTATGGGAAATTGCTGCTTCTTACAGATACTATCTGAATTACAGGAAACAGAAACAAAGTCCAGATTTAACATAGGAGAATATAAAATTTGGTGTTAAAATACAATTTTACCACATTTATGAAAATTGTGGGCTGGGTGCATGTTTGTAATCCTAGCAGCTTGGGCAGCTGAGGCAGGAGGATCACGAGTTCAACAAAAGTGAGGCCCTAAGCAACTCAGTGAGACCCTGTCTCTAAATAAATTACAAAAAGAAAAAAGAAAATTGTGTATATTGTGATTTATAATAGGAAACATGTAAAATGTGTTACTATTAATAAAAACACACTTAACAAATTATATCAAATCTGAGAATTTATCCATCTAATAATTATATCACCATATAATTTCAATATTCTTTCTTGTGTGAGTGGGTGGAGAAGAATTTCAGTTAAAGTTCTTGGAAGCAAGCATAACTGTATGAATGTGTTCTGCACAAGAACACATGAATGAAAACCATCAATTTKAAATGAGTTATACAATGAATTCTTTTCTAAAGAGGTTTTGATAACATTAAAACATAAAATATACTTAATGTTTTCAAATTAAGCTTTTCCCCCGCAAAATACTGCATATGACATCTTAAAAATTACCTCTAGTAAAAGAGAGAAAGGCAGACTTTTCTTTATAAACATTACATTATAATTGGAGCAAAAAATAAATATATGTATAAAATATATAATATAAAATATAATATATAAAAGATATATAATGTATTTTTTTCACTCCCTAGAAGAAAATTTAAAAACTCTTTTTTAAGCAAATTCTCAGTGATAGATCACTGAATGTAATTTCCAAGATATTTTTGTTACTTCCAATTGGATAAAAATTGATGCCATCCTATGACATCTACTAAGATGTACATGTAGAGGAAACAACCTTTYATCTGGATTATTTAACTTCTCCAGTTCAACAGGAAGAGTACATGCTTTTCTAATAATGAGGTCAGTTTTTGCATTTCCTCTGGTGGTGATAAAGAAAAAAACATTTGTGGTAGATAGATCTAGTGTATATCCAGGCTATGCATTTGCCAAAATCTATGATACTGAATACATTAATTCACCTGCCAAAGTTCTGTCTACATTATTGACAAAAATGGGAAAAATATGAACACTTATGGCATAAGTTTTTTTTGTGGGAGTATTGTAGCAAATCAAATGCAAGTGTTTAGGGTGTTTTATAAACATAATACATGAAGAAGTAATAAATAATATGGGTCTAAATAGTTCAAGATTCATCTGTTCAGTCCTTCACTCATTCTTGTATTTACTCAGTAATTCACATATATGATATGCTCTTTCTGCATACCTACATGCAACACATACTTAGGACATTCAAGAATAAGTGACGAATACATTTTCTTCAAAAAGCTGACAATGGAATCTAAGAATCATACAAATGAAAGCTGGAAAGGGATCAATGTGAAGTAGGTCACAGGAACCTTGCACAGCCAGATTGGAAAAATGTCTTCATGGGAAAAATTAATGTCCTCATTTAGTGGCACAATCGTCAGCATAAAGGAGGGGACAGATGATGTCCAATGTCTATTCCTATGTCCCAACTAACAGCAACAAAAAAAAATCTGGCCTTTGGCCAGCATTTACTTTATTTAAAAAATTGTTACAAAGTGTTTATGTATATTATATAATTGATGCACATTTCAGAAGATCACCAGAATGCTTCACATATAACTTTCTATTTCTTAAATTTGTGTTCTTCTGTGTTTTTAATGACATTCTTGCTGATACACTACCCCATATATGTTTGTGTAAATCTTCATGTACATTACAAAGAGCTGTTACCATTTGGTAAACATAAAATAAATTACAATAAGCAGAATGGCAACCTTGTTTAGGAGTATATTTTTCATTGAGAATACCTGTAAGTTTTATTAAGGTATCATGAATTAACATAGTTCATAATTCAATATTTCATAAAATGGAAAATGCATTTCCTCCTAGAATATTAGCAGCACATTAACAGTTTATTAATTTTAAAAATGAATTTTTATAATCATCCAAGTATTAGAGCTTAAATGTACATTTATGTCCTCCGAATTTTATTGTAAAAAAGATATTAGGGGGATGTTCTATGTGTGGTTTTTATAGTGCTATTCTTACCCAACTTGAAAATCAAGTGCAAACCTGGTGAATTTTGGGGAAAACAAGTGTCTTCCAGGTATCATTATATTTTTATTTATGAATGCTAGAAAACTATACATCCACATTCTGTTTCATGGTTCTTTGGGCTAATGATTGTTCTTTGTACATTTTCCCAAAGTAACTCAGGAAATATAATAAGTCCTGACAATTAATCCAGAGGATTCAGTGATAATCCCATGACCCAGAACAGTCAGGAAAAAAAAAAGAATCTCAGGAAAAAAATTGCGCTTCCATGAATTTATATACAAAAATTAATCCTTCTAACTTTTTAGATTGTGTGTTTAGTTATAAGCCACATTTACAAATGAGAGGAAATTTCCAACTTTTTTAGTAAATGACACTTTAAAGTTTTCATACACAAGCAAGACTTTCCTTATGGCTTCTAATTGTTCTTTTGGTGTATGTTAGGTTTTCCTTCATAATGGATATATTTTAATTTTTCATATGTTTTCTTGTTTTTTTTTTTAATTTTTAGGGATTACTGGTGACTGGAAAAATTACTTCACAGTGGCCCAAAATGAGAAATTTGATGCCCTTTATAAAAAAGAAATGTCTGGAACTACACTTCGATTTTGCATAGAGATTTAAAGTGCTGAACTGTAAATTGAAGAAAGAAGAGATGACTCACAGTTTTTAGAAATAGAGCAGTTATGACTTGGCTGAACAATCAAATGATTATAGGAAGGAAAGACCTTGATTTTAAAACTTTGGATTTTTCAGCATCATTATCCGGGCTTCAGTTTGTTCCACTGTCTCTGAGATTCCTAAATCCCTAAAGCCAAGGCCCATCATTCTCCTTTTATAGTCTATTCCTGCCTTTTCTAGATTAGACCAGATAAGACAGTATTTACCCTCTTCAGTCTCCTATATCTTATGACTTAGTTAAGTTCATTTCCCTCTTACTGTGGTCTAAGAAATGCCGTTTTTTCAAACTAACACTGTATTTTCTGCCTCTGCTGGTTTCCTTTGCTGAATTATTTACCCAGGACACTGTGTTCCACTATTTACTGGGTGTCAAGCTATTCTTGAAGTCATAGCTCATCTTTTTCTATAACACACAGTTCATGTTCCAGATCTAGTGAAAATATTTTTTTCTATACCTTATTTCATGTCCAGGTCTCAAAAGGGCAAAGACCTACCTTATTCTCTCTAAGGTCTTCCCTGGGGACTGGAGCTTGTCTCTGAGAGACTACTGTGAGGGCCAGGACCTGCTTCCTGTGGAGAGTCCTCTTTTCTTAGCAGACCCTTTTCAATTTCTACAAATCACACATGGCCATGCTCTGGTCACTTTCATCTTCTCCAAATAGATTTGGATTCCCTAATAGCACCCAAGATAAGGTTATAGCTGCTGCTGAAAATTTTCCAGTCTGCTGTCCAAGGAAGACTAGTCTGAGTCTCACTCTGCCCTCCTGACCCAGTATCCCTCCTACCTACTATCCCACACTAAGGCTACGTGCTTCAACTCTTTGATAGACGTTTCCTGGGAACATTTATATTTCAACTCTGGTTCTTCCATGCATGTAGCTATGCCTCTATCCATGTGCAGCAAGAACTTTTATCTGAAGTTTATATCAGCATGTGCCAAATTAAATCCAAAGCCACAGTTCCCAAACTGAAGCTCCTTAGAGTGCTCTGGGCTGGTCCCTTTCATGTTCAGGAGTTGGGACTTCAAATGCATTGCAGACCCTCTGAGGCATAATACAGATATCAGTGGGTTGCAGTTTTGCAAATATATGCTCTCAGTCTGGAATAGTTGGAAACCCTCCTTCAGCCTGTAACTACACTCCTTTTTAATCCCAGCAGAAGAGTGATAAGGAATCAAATTTATATTTCAAATCTATAAGTGATTGCCTCTGCTTCTGGAAATATTTGCTTCTATACATTTACAGTGTATGCTATAAATCAAATCAGGGTACAAAACTTGTGTTCATGTGCTTTATAAACATACTTTTAGGGAGTTAATCCTGTGATTTTAGGGATATTTTGAATTAATTCCAGCTAATACTGGTGTTAAGAAGGAAGTAACATAAGCCAATCATGTGTCTATTTGCTTTGTTATCTTTGCTAACACTAAGATAATGTGGCCTAACACATAAGGGCTTCTGCTACTATTGTCTGTTATTGAGAAAAAATCTCTGATCTAGACTTTAATCTTTGCAATAGATTGGCTGCACTAGTTGTCTTCASTAGCAGGATGTAATAATTTCTCCATTCCCTAGTTTTTCTTTTTAGGAAGAAGTTTCTAACTGGACTTGGTTCAACAATAACAAAATACTGTAGGATTCATCTATTCTCCAGGTATTTTTTATGCACTAGATGTAGAGTGGAAAACAAAATCCAGATTTTCCTTTCCTTTTCTGTGGTTTATTGCCTCTTATTTATTCCTTAATCTATATTTCAATCATCCATTCTGATTCCCTCACTTTAAAGGTCACTCTTAATGCCACACATTCCTAGTAGAATTCAGTTTTGGAACTGCTCTATATGTTTTGAAACCATAAAAAACCTGCCATCAAATTAATTTTTCAAAAATAAATTTTATTTCTATTTCTCTTTTAATTGCCAAATAAAACACAGTTACATTAACTTCATTCTCATGTTGTTGTTGTTTTGTTTGTTTGTTTGTTTGTTTTTTACCTAAATGATGTACCATGAAGTAAGGACAGTGGTAACAAACATCTGTCAATGATGTGAATATTCCCTTATCTGCCACAAGTCTCACAGCACAGAAATCTATTCCCTTTCACTGCACCCTGCTCTAACTTGTCTTACCCACACCATTTACTCCCTTTCTACCCTGGCCTTATTTTTCATTTGGTACAGTTACACCCTTTGAGGATTTTGAGGTTTGAGTACTATGCCCCATTTCACCATTAATCGACACAACACTCTCCTCCATGTTTCACAGTACCTTTCATATACAGACAAGAAGGTAGTACAACCTATTTCAAATACTTGATGTTAAAGAGATGTGAAAGCCAATTATTTTGCTAGAGTTTTTCAGAAAACTCACCAAAGGCAAGAAGGAAAAATAGGCCTAGAAATCACTAGTTTTTAGTAAGTTATCTGCACAAATGTCTCATTATTATTTGTGATGCTTGGACTTGTTATATATAAACAAAATTTCTATGTTATTAAAATGTTACCTTAAGCAGCAATCTTTTTTAAGCCGCACTTATCTAATACAACGTTAATTATTGTTATTTGCCATACGAAATTCATTGAAGACTATTTGGTGGCTCTGTGTGCCATTGACTTTTGTAACTTTTTGTGATATCTAATGCTTGATTTAGAGGTTAATTTAATTTTCTACCGTCAAAATATAAGTAGTCAAATGTCTTAGTAGAAAGTAAAGCATCAAAATTCATAGCTTCTATCTCACTAGTTAATAAATTGGCATATTGGTTTTTGTGCCTGGAAACGGGGACTAAATCAGAAAAGGAAGCAATAGAGAACAGAAGATAAGAGCACAGACTAGAGTAAAAGAGTCTTTTTGGCATCTGGTCTGTGCCACTTCCTAACCATGAAACTTGGGAACTTGAGACTGTAACTTAACTTTCCTATTGACTCAATTCCTTATCTGTACAATGTACACAGTGGGAAATTCTAAAAAGGATGACAAGAAATATCCAATAAAATAATTAGAATGGTACTTCTTATATATTGGTATGCTCACTTATTATTAGATGCCATTAAGAAATTTGGTTTTATAAATCTTGAAATTTTGTTTATCTAAATGGGCTTGAAGCATCAAATTTTTTATTTCACACAGATGGCTTCAAAATGACAGATATTTTACGTGTTAATGAGAGGAAAAGAGTTCTCTGATTTTATTACATCTAATGATCATTCTTTTATTGTTTATTCCCAAGTTTAATTTTCCACATGTGTTAACTATTACTATATAAGGGATTATTGTCCAATAATAGTATTTTCAATGGAAGCCAATGATCATCATTCAAAGGAAAAGCATAAGAAAGTTGTGTAGATTGTAATACCTCTGCAAATAATGTTTAGAATGTAATGATACAACCTTTGACAAAATATAAATAAAAGTTAGATATAATCAAGCAATCATTCCACATGGGTGGATTAAAATTTCTTAGTGGAAATTTGATTATGCTGGGAAGACTCTACGGTTAGTCTTTGCATCTATGAATATGTATATTCACATTTACCTATAATTTTCTTAATAACTATAGAATGGGAAAATAAAATGAAATATATGGTAATTGTATAATTTAAAATTTGAAACAACGATATATGGGTTGATATAAAATTACTATACCTTGTATCTCATTGCCATTTCAATTAGAATTTATCAGATGTTAGACAATTTTATAGAAGAATTAGTACACACATTTTTAAAGTATTCAAAGTGACACAACTGGGATTCAAATCTAAGTCTGTTTGATTCCAACTGTCATTCTTAACCATTATATGACAATACATAGAATTAYATATAAGAAGTCCCTATGGRTGTTAAGAACATCTTCATAGAAACAAATAGGTAATGGTGGTCAATGTTACAATGTAAAAGTTCCAAGTTGTATTTATTCTCAGAGCACCAGTGTTGCACAGATGCAGCCTAAGAGTGTGTTTAGCCTGCCACCTGTGCCGGCTTCATGAATGAAGGTTGAGTAGTGAGAAACCCCTAGGGAGTTTTGAATTAAAGAGACAAGCCTCTAATTACCTTTAAACCAGCTCCAGGACCCCTCTTCCTAGCTCCAGCCTCAAGCCACCTATTATGGTAGCGAGGTTTACTGAAGAGGGGAGAGAGAGAGAGAGAGAGAGAGAGAGAGAGAGAGAGAGAGAGAGAGAGAGAGAGAGAGAGAACACACCAGGGAGTGGGCTTTTATTGGAGAACAAAAACTTCTGGGGAAAATCCCATCCAATGAAGATTAAGGGGGGCAGCATCCCAAGGTCAGGGGCGACAATTGGGTCTTTGGGGTAGTGGCCAGACACGMCTCTGGGCGGACAAGCCCTCGGACCTGGAGAAGGGAGGGGAAAGCTCTGACATAGCTGTGTCTAAGCGCTTCTCACCCAGCCAGGGTGGTAACTCAAATCACATGCGAGGATGGCCTCCCATACCTGTGATTAAATTTCTAATGTTTGTTATAAACTATAATTGAACATAATTGTTACTTATTTATAGTTGTAAATAGTAATGACAATAGCATTTTAAAGACTTTTGTAGGTTAATTAATTTTCCAGTATTGATTTTTAAACTTCCCAATTAGAAAGAAATATCTCTGGTAAAATGCAGCAGTCTCAACAAATGATTAGTAAGATAATTTTTGGAATGCAGCTTACTTTTGAGATGAGCACTGACTCTACTGTCCTGTTCTCTCCTATTGAGGGCTTGAAGAAAACTAGTTGTATAAATTTTATGGAAAAACTTCTCATGCAAGTTGGAATATGAAAAAAAGAGGAGAGAAAAAAAAATCTTCACAACTTATACTCTCTCTATCCCTTACTTTCCTCTAATCTTATTAGCAGGGGAACCAAAAATGCAATGCATATTATAAGCTTTAGAAAAGAAAAAATATCCTTGTGGTTCTCTCTAGAGATTCTGATTAAGAAAGTGTGTAGAATTTGGCCCCAGATTATGTATGTTATATAAACATCAAAGGTGAATCAATGCTTGTATTATCTATTGATTTTTCCTAGTGACAATTTTGGACTACTCATGTTTTCCAAGGAGCAGCTCTATAGGCAGATAGATAATAGATACTTTCAAAACAGCTATCAAGGCATCCCTTTTGCACTGATTGAAATCATATTTATAAATAA